CATGTGGTCGATCAGCATCTTTTATAACGTGGGGGGGGGGCAGGCTGAGCTGGCCACATCCCCCTGTGACACCTCCTGTTAGTCCGTCCCATAAAACATACTATTGGCTGGCTGGAAGAGGGGAGGGGGACTAAGGAGTGGTCAATATTGAGAGCTAGAAACTTGGTCTGGGGACTGGCACCTGGATGAAGGCTGATTGAATCATCAGGCTAGGGCTATTGTCTCTTGATGGCCCTAGCTAGCTTGCTGATGGGTGAGCAATTAGTTGCTATTCAACTATGAATAGAGTCTCTTGATTAGATTTGTAGGTAGCTGGGAGAGGGGGAAGAGAGGTTGCCTACATTTATTTACATGTGCTGGAAGAAACTCCTAATGGCGTCTGGAGTTCTCTGTCCTCATGATTTTCCATGGCATGGCATCTGAGGCTGTGTACAGGCTTATGGGACTGCTTCATCTCACAGCAGGCAAGATGGCTGGTGACTGGACTATCACTGTGGCAGCAACACTAAAGGAAGGCGTCCCTCTCTCAGGTGTGCAGTCTCAACAAGTATTCCCAGTCCCTTTGCACAGCCCATACAGTTCATAAAAACATTGATAGGCTTGCATGGCAACATGGGAGAACTGGGTTTGATTCCCTACTCTTCCATATGCAGCTGTGGGTGTGACCTTGGGACAGTTACAAGTTCTTTCAGAGCCGTTCTCTCAAGGGCAGTTCTTGAGAGAGCTCTCTCAGCCCCACCTACCTTGCAGGGTGTCTGTTGTGGGGAGGGGAAGGGAGAGACTGTAAGCCGCTCTGAGAACCCTTCAGGTAATGAAGGGTGCGGTATAAATCCAACTCTTCTTCTCTTCTTCTTCTCAACCATTTGAAAGTTAAGCAGGGTCAGCCCTGCTTAGTACTTGGATGGGGGACCACCAAGGAAGCCCAGGGTTGCTATGCAGAGGCAGGCGATGGCTGACCACCAGGGCCGGCTCGCTCCCTAGGTGAACTAGGCGTTCGCCTAGGGCGCACCGGCCCTTAGGGGCACCAAACTGCCCCCGCCAAAAGCCCACCCTGCCAAAAGCCCTGCAGCAGCCAGATTGCTCGCTCACAACTTTAATGCCATTAGCTCACAAAGTAATTTTGCTCAGAAGACTCCACAGCTTAGAGGGATCATTGGTTACACCGCGCAAAATATTATTAAAAAATAAACTCATATAATTATAAAAGTTGTAAGTGTGCTTTATCTCAAACATAATAGTAAGTATAAATAAGAAATAATACATATAATACATATACAACTATATTGTCTGTGTACTTTCCCTCAGGAATCACTCAGCTATGCTTAAATCCAAGCACCTCTTAGAATCCCTGCTTCAGTCAGAGGTCCGCCCTGAAAGGGTGAGAAAAACCGGCACTATTTTTGGGCAGGAACGCACAGGAACGGAGTTCCGGCTGGCTCC